TTTTTTTTTTGTAAATCTGACCTTTTACCTGCCCACAGAAGGGGATTCAAAATGACAACTTTTTCACAAAAAATTAACTTTTGAAAGTGTTCCGGAAACACTGACACTTGTATATATATTTTAAATTATAGCTAATGTAATATACTTTATTATGGAAAAAAAAAATTCGGACTTTATTTTGTCTTCACGGTGAAAATGGCTACCAAATGCTATTTTTGTGTGAAATTTCTCGATTTTCTTTTTTACATTTTTAACTTTATAATGCTATAACTTATTGAAAAGTGTATAGATCAACACAATTTTTTTATGAGAAATAATATTTTTTAATAATCCCTTTTTCATTTGATATACTTTATCTTAATTAGGATATTAATAAGGAAATAGCAGATCATGTAGCTTTTGGAATAATCCTTCAATTTTTTAAAATTAAACACTATCTAAAGATTTGCATCGAAGCGTTTTTTTTTGATAGTGATTTTAATCACTGTCAGATATCATTATACTTCATCCATCTATACCACGTCACCACTGTGCTGCGACCCCCCTGTGCTGGGTTTTTTTTTATTTTGTTTGTAGTGTAATCCGATTCAGTGTATTCAGGGAAAGTCCATGAGGTGTGTATATCTCCTTCCCAATTTTTTTAAAATTACATTGTAGGTAAGTGATCAAACTTGATGGTATTTCGTATTGAGAATGATATTTTAGGGATGCTAAATAATCGTAATCAATCTAACTTTTTGTAAAACATTTCATGCATTTTGAGTGTTTTAAGTTCCTCTAGTTACTTATGTTTTGTAACTCGAAATTCCAGCAACGTGTCTGCTTCAAATGAATAATTACAAAATGTCATAAAATTTTATAGTCACTTTAGAAAACTATTATTCTGTGTTAAATTTTTTTTGTTTAATAAATTTGTATTGCTAAAGGTCAATAATAACGACAATAACAACCCATCTAGGAAACGTAGTTTTTTTAGAACGAATAATATTTTCTACTTCTAACGATATATAAATACAAACTAAATATTTTATTTATCTAAGTGTATAATTTTAAAGTTCGATCAACAAATAAAAAATGTATTACAAGTGTAAAATAAGATAAGCATGCATGCAAAAATACATTGCATCTGCAGTGTAATATTTATTTGTTACATACAACACTGTTGTCGGAATGTTATGAAGTTTTAACAATTCAATGAACTATAGGGTAGTAATGTGAAGGGCTGAACAAAATAATGTAGATGAACATTACTGGGAGATATCAAGATCTGATCGACGTACATCAGATAAGGTGGTTACAATTTATTATTAGACGAATACGTTACACGTGTCACTTATTGATGTTAAATCTAATATTATTATAAACAGGTAATGAATCTATTTCGCTCCACACCCCTTGAATTATTATAATAATTGATACTACTTTACTACTAAGTACCCTTAAAAGGTTGGTAACCCCTACACAACTCTATCAAAAATAATTAAATTATATCAAAGTAGATTGTGTTTTGCAGAGAGCGTAATAAATATTGAAAGAGTATAGACTTTAACAAAGTGTATGGTTAAAAAATCATTTTTTGAAATTAATTAAATTTTTCGACAAACCTTTTTAAATTTTTAAATTTAATTAAATTAAATTAAATTATTTTTTGTGTATATACGACGGTATACATTCACAATATGATATAACTCATATTAATATTTTAAAAATATATTTATAAAAATATTGTCTATCCTTAAAATATATTTTCGGTTATCTAACTAAATATTTAATTACCTTTAAATGAAAAGTACAGGAGATAACGGTAGCAGTTTATTTTTTAGATTTAGATTTTATCGTATATCTGATAATCCATTGAAAATAATATCAAGTGTAATTGAATAGTCAACATCTAATCGACTATAAATATTTTTATTTTGTTAATAATTAAGTGTATATTTTAGCTTCGATGCGAAGCTGAGAAGGTATTAATTTTATTATGATGTTTTTTTAAAATTTTTTTTGTGTCTGTTATCACTTTTTCTCAGCTCTCACTGGACCGATTTTTATAAACAATACATCAAAAGATCACAAATTATATTTAGTCGAAGAAATAAACCTCAAAAATTGAAAAAAAATTACTTCGTTACCCGTAAATGAGTGAAATGCTCAAAAAAACTTCAATTTTTAAAATCGGTAATTTTCGACACTTTTTTTCAATTTTTATTTGTTAAAACTGCCATACCTTTTTTAAAAATTAACAAATCAATATAATTTATTTTATATAGATACCTAGGTATTTACCTATCATTTGATATACTTTTGTGAACAATTGACTCTTTACCATTCACCCACCTACAGAGGGGATTCAAAATGACAACTTTTTCACAAAAATTAACTTTTGAAAGTGTTCCGGAAATATTGACACTTTATATATACCTTAAATTAAAGCTTATGTAATATACTTAATAATAATAAAAAAAAAATTTGGACTTTATTTTGTCTTCACAATGAAAACGGACATTAAAGTTATTAAAAAAAAAAGATTTTTGTAAAAAAATTATTCTTTATATTTACATTTTCTCGTTTCCCGTAAATGAGGGAATTCTCCAAAAAAATTACAAATTTAAAAATCGCTAATTTTCGAAATTTTTTTCACTTACAACTGCTATAACTTTTTCAAAAATGAACAAATCAATATATTTTTTTTCATAGATGCATATGTCTTTACCTGCCATTTGATATTTTTTTTTTGTAAATCTGACCTTTTACCTGCCCACAGAAGGGGATTCAAAATGACAACTTTTTCACAAAAAATTAACTTTTGAAAGTGTTCCGGAAACACTGACACTTGTATATATATTTTAAATTATAGCTAATGTAATATACTTTATTATGGAAAAAAAAAATTCGGACTTTATTTTGTCTTCACGGTGAAAATGGCTACCAAATGCTATTTTTGTGTGAAATTTCTCGATTTTCTTTTTTACATTTTTAACTTTATAATGCTATAACTTATTGAAAAGTGTATAGATCAACACAATTTTTTTATGAGAAATAATATTTTTTAATAATCCCTTTTTCATTTGATATACTTTATCTTAATTAGGATATTAATAAGGAAATAGCAGATCATGTAGCTTTTGGAATAATCCACCAATTTTTTAAAATTAAACACTATCTATAGATTTGCATCGAAGCGTTTCTTATGATTATGATTTTAGTCACTGTCAGATATCATCTATACTTGTCCCAACTATGCCACTTCCATACGGTGGCACGACCCCACTGTACTACCGTTATTTTTTTTGTTTAATTATTAAGGGAATAGAAGTTTATGACTTTATTTTTGCTCTTCTCAAAAATTTACAGAAATTTTTTGGTAAAATTAAGATATATTTATTTTTTTTGGTTTTTATAGAACATATAGTTTTTAAAACTTATTAATAATAGTAATGAAATTGGAAGACAAACCTGTTTTATTTAGAAAGCATAATTTTAAACAAACATCTTACATGATAATACTTAAAATTTTATACAACATTAATTGTGGGATATAACTTCAACCACTTTTAATGTACACAATTGATTAGTATCTAATTAAATAGAAATAGTACTTACAAAATTGATTCACTAGACTAAAGGCCGCCACAGAAAAATCTGTTTTATACTATACAGAAAAATCATTAAAAATATTTAATTAATTATTTTACATGATTATTTTCTTCATCGTAAATTTCTACATATATTTTTATCTATGCTCTAGTATTATTAAACATATCAATAATCTATTTATTATTTTGTATTACCGTTATTATGCCTCGTATAAAAAAGAAACTTATATAATTTTAAAATATCTTGATCAAGTTATATAACTAGTAGGAAAATTGTATAATAGTTTGATGGTGCCCAAAAAAATTTGCCAAGACTACATTACGATTTATTTTCATTTCTTAAAATAATTTCAGTAAAAAAGTATAACTCGTGGTAACTTGATATATATGCAAGAGTTGACTAGAGATTAGTTTAATTAGATTATTTATCTTAGGCTCCCATGTATATATGGTTCTCACGCTTGGTTGAAAGTGTTAATTCCTTTATCACTATTTTATTTTGTTTTTAATTTAGTTCTTATTCACAATTTTCATTGGAGAAATTAAACCCTTTTTTATCTTGGATTATTGATTTAAAATGTTTAACTAACATTATCGATTAATTTTACTGATGTCGAGTTATTTTTTTTTAAAGAAGTGTATATTTTAACCTACTAGAAATTTACAGTTCATGATAATCATGTTGTTTTGGTATGAAATAATTCTTTAATTTTAATCCTTAGATACATAAAAATTTGTATCTATAATTAAAAACATTAAAATTATTTAAAAATCTAATATTAGTGCTAAATTTCATAAAAAATAGTAGTTTACATCACATGTAACACTTTAAAAGAATTTTTGCTGTTCATAATTGTGTCTTTGAACTATGTTATCATTAATAATGACATGTTGAGAGTGGTCACCTACGATGTCAATGATGTCACCCTCGTCACCGTCATCATCTTCTACACAAGTATTGGCATCTTCGTCACAGTCTTCATCATCATCTAGTTCCGAAGAGTCACTTAGGGCGTAATGTCGTTGTCTATAATCGCTGTTAATGCCAACAGGTTGAGTTTCCGTTCTAACTTTCCGGTCTATTCCTATCACAACGCCCGTGTCTACCGAAGTGTTTGCTACTTGGGTTGAACTTTTTGATGAAAAATCTACCGGATAATCTTATACGTAAAAACACAAAAATATCAATTGCAAATATGCTGTATGTTGTTATTAAGTATAATAAAAAGATATCAGCGTACCAGTCGATATTGATTTATTAACATTTTGGTGTCTGTGCGTCGACTTTTCTCCTTCTGTTACCATTGGATCGTCAGAGACTTTACGCAACTGTTTTTTATGCTTCATGCGACGATTTTGAAACCATGTTTTCACCTTTGGAAAATTATCAAGTGAAATCATTACTTATTAAAATTAAAAAATATATTTTTTTTAAATATGTCCTATAAAATATTTCTATTTGATAGGCCAAATAGTGTAACTCAGAGACAAATCTTGGAGGAGGGTGCTTGGATATTTTAGCACCTCCCTTTAGAAGTGTTAATCGAATCAGAAAACAGTTTTTAGAGTAAAAAAAGAGGTCTATCAGGTCCAAGAATATAATTCAACTTTTAAAAATGTATTTTTCTGATCCTTTTATAGAATAATTCTAGATCAACTCCTTATTTAAGCCTCAAAAATGAAAATTTCCAGAAGACATTAAAGTTCAATGTTTATTTAATATACTATTAATGAAAACTTCTAATTTCTGTTTTGAATTTAAATATGAATGAATTGTTTGTAGGTTATTTAATAATATTATCTACTTACAAAATAATTGTAATTACAATAATAGTATTATCTAAATAAATGATTTATCTCTATATTATACACTTTTATTTTAACCTAAAACTTGATATAAGTTAAGGATATACTATTTGATCAAATAACCAAAAATATATTATGTACTTTTGACCAAGTTAAGGTATGAATTTAAACTATATGAAAGCTATATAGTCTGTATTATGAATTTATTTATATAAAATTTACCATTACTTTTAATTGTTAATAAACTTCTGAATTATTGGTTCAAAAGTTGTTATTGACCTGTCATTTTCTTAATGAAATAATTTTCTATTTGTTAAGCATGGTATATTGTCATTAAAAATAAATAAACAGTAACACATATGAAACTAAGAATAGCAAATAAATTATTTCATGAGAAACCGAGTGGCTAGCGTTAAAATAATTACACCATATAGATACCTGTGTTTCAGATAGTCTTAATTCTGTAGCCAATTCAACTCTTTCAGGTGTGCTTAGGTATCTTTGTACTTCAAATCTCTTTTCTAAACCAGTGAGTTGTTGGTCAGAAAAAACTGTTCTAGCTTTTCGCCTACGACACAGTCTCGAACTCATTTGATTATGTCCATATTCATTGCGAGAAGCCCAGATACTACTGAAAGGCATTCCTAGAGACATTCAGAATTTAATCATTTATATAAAAAATGACCATATTTCTAGATTACAATTCACATTATTTTAGTTCGATGAAAAGTTGAAAAATTTTACTATCATGCATAATTTTATATCTGTTATTATAAACACTCAGATCTACTCGTCAAATTTTGTTCAACGATAAGTTTTAAATATAAAAAATTGTATTTAGATAAAAATATTATCCCCAACATTTGAAAAAAAATTTATCGGTATCAATAAATGCGAGAAATCCTCGAAAAATTGCAATTATTGAGTTCGGTTAATTTTAATATTTATTTTACTTGACCTTGTTATAACTTTCTAAAAATATATAGATTAAAATTGTTTTCACTTTTTAGTGCCTATATTATAATCACTTCAATAATAACATATTTGGGGTAGGGTATATTCTTCTTATATTAAAAATTTTCTCTCCTAACTCAAAAAGATAAAATAATTTTTTTTAAATACCTTGCGGTGTAATGAAAAATGGTTCAGCTATAGAACTTTTATGCATGTAGTGAGTCGGATATGATAAATAAGCAGAAGCCATAGCTGATGGTAACATTGAAAAGCATTCTGGACTTTGTGTTATTTGGTTACGAATTCTTTCTTGATTAGTTACCTGAAACTAAGCATCAATAAGTTAACTCTGTAATGATTATTATTTTTAAAATTATAACACTGTATTTATTTTTTTATGTTAAGAGAATATTGTTGTAGTGTATATGTGATTAAATTAGTAGTGTAACCTGAGGAAATTAGGAGAGAATTAAAATAATTTTTTAGTTGCGCCACTGAATAGATTCCATAAAAATTGTAACATATTTTTCCATTGAATTTCATAACCAATTTTTAGTGTTTTAATTATTTAAAAAATTATTTTAGTCGATATTTTAACCTTAATCAATAAAACTATACAAACTCAAAATTGTTAAAAAAAGAAAAAGAGTTTAATTCAAGTGTATTTTATTATTTATTTAAATCATTGACTAATTATTACATTTTTTTATGATAGAAAATATTATTAGTAGTAATTAGCTTTTACATTTTTGTCAAAAGACTCTTGTGAATAATTAATCTATATAATAAACAAATCAAACAAAAGTTATTTTAATGTAAAAAGAATTCTTAAATATACGTTTAGGTTTATAAAATAAATATTGTAAATATATAACAAATAAAGTTTGAATTTTACTTAAATGTATTATTCAGTCATTTGATTATATAAAATTATTTATCTATAATAATCAGTAAGCTGTTTTAAGGAAACTAAAATATTCTTTGATATGATTAAGTACGTTAATGTGAAATTATTCCTTATTTCCTGAAAAATATGATTATTCAAAACATTATTTTAACTATTTTTTTAAAAATATTTTTATAACTACCAGAAAAATACTACGTTTTTTTAAATATTTATTTCCGAGGAAAAAATTGAAAAAAAATCAATATTAAATATCAATTAATAGCTGTTAGAGTGTTTATAATAAAATTTGGTAATTTAATTATACTTACAAAGTTTAAACGTTAAATCATATCGCTATTCATTTTCTCGCTTTCAGAGATAAATTATTTCTTAATATCCTTTTAATACATAATTAAATCGATATTTGCAGAAAAAGAGAACAATTTCTTAATTAATTTTCAAGAATTCTTTTGTAAAAGTATACAGAGTGATCCATTATAACTTACAATTGATATAATAATTATAGATATATATTTTTTAGTTACATATATAAAGGGTGATCAGTAAGTTAGGAAACAGTTAAATTGTTACAAACAATGAGTACAATAGAAATTCGTTTCCTTATTTACTGAACACTCTGTATATTGATTTATCAACTATTACATAATTTTTCGGTTTACCCTATACAGAGTGTTCAGTAAATAAGGAAACGAAATTCTATTGTACTCATTGTTTGTAACAATTTAACTGTTTCCTAACTTACTGAACACCCTGTATACTAAATAAGGGTGTAAAACCATTTTTATCATTAGAAATTTCACGGTCACAATCTTTCTTTCACCTAGGTATAAAAATTTCCAAAAAAACGAGTCACAAAAAGTTGAATTATACACTAATGATTGTAATGATATACATAGTACATCATTAATGTCATAATGTATTATTTAAGACTTCAATCAATCAATTACACAAAATAAAATGTATACCAATAAAAATCAGATATATATATGTACCTTTTAAATGTTTAAAAATACTAATGAAATTTCGTATAAAAAGAGTATATATTAATTATATAATAGAAACAGGAAATAATAAACAATATGTAATGGTAGCACATAAAATGTAGGGTAATAAACTATGTCTAAATTATTATATAAGATATGATAGTATTTTATAATATGTAGATCATTATTGATGAAAATGTAATAAATAATATGTAATAAATTACGATTAATAAAGAAATAACGGTGGCGTCGCGGATTACTTTTTGCCTTTGAACTACGATCAAATTTAATATAAAAAGCCAAAAATAAAGAACATTCTGGGACAGATGCAATCAGATATTTACAGAGGCACTCACTGCGCTCGATCATTCCACACTACGAAATATATGCAAGAAGTGATCCGCCGTCAACACAATTATATTTGTTCACAAAATACAACATCTATTTATTTAAGAGTATCGCAGAAAATATCAAGGTAGGAATCTAATAAATTCACCAAAAATAAATCAGGTTTAGAATTAAATTTTATGAGTACATAGATTAAGTAGGCACACAANGATATATAACAATAATTCCACTTAACTGTAAATGACAATTTGGTCAGCATTTTTTCATAGGCAATGTCATATAAGTTTAGATATGTAAGACTATTTTTAGTCTTACCGAAAAATTATCCACAAAAAGTTTTTCCAATATTTTCAGACCAGTCACTTTACTTATTGAAAATTTTTTGTTTCGTAATAAAAAGTGACGAAGGTAAAAGATATTGTCGTCGTTGTTTTTGACAACAATAAAAAATATAATTTTCAAGCACTACAATCAATGTTGACCAATCAACATGGCGAATGTTACACAAATTCAATGATTCACATCAAATTAAAGTTTTCACATGAATAGAAAATAATGTAATTCAAATGAGAATTATTAAGTTTGTTAAATTGTTCATACAATACACAATATTTTGACTCTGTTTCAACACATTTGTGATACTCGTTATTGATCTAAAAGTTGTTATCCGGTAATCATTTTTTATTTTATATGCAATTAAATATGCAAGTTACCATTTAAAAATAAAGTTGTTTATTTCATATAAAATATAAGAAATGAATCCAAAAAAGTATTAAGTAATTGTTAAATCAAGAAATATATGTAACTAAAACAAAAACATTCTAATAATTATTTTATTTTGTAATTAAATGACTGGATTATGATAAATAGAGCATTCTATACATCTATTTTGTATTTAGAAATCACAAGTTTAATATTATCAAGAAAACTGTTTTAAAATCATTATTTTAGCTTTGATGCGAAGCTAAGAAATTTTAGTACGATGTGTTTTTTTTTTGCATATCGTCACTGTTTCTCTGCTCTTGCAGGGCCGTTTTCTTTAAATAATACGTCAAAAGATCACAAATAATATCTAGTTGAAGACATTGCCTTTGAAAATTGAAAGAATTTCTGTCGTCCCCGTAAATGGGGAAAATTATGATTTATACAATCAATAAATGTTGACATTTTTTTAAACTGTCATAACTTTCAAAAAATAAACGAATCAAATAACTTTTTTTATAAAATTTCTTAGGTTTTTAACTTTAATTTGTTGTTAATCTTTTGAAAATCTGTCTTTTTACCTGCCCACAGAGAGCGATTTAAAAAAGCAAGTTTTGTACAAAAAGTTATCTTTTGAAAATGTCCCGGAAATACTGCGTATTTAAACATGTGCTAAATTAAAGTTTATATTATTTATTATAAAATAAAAAAATATTTTGTTTTAACAAATCACCATTTTTTATATTATAATCTTCTATTTCAATATTTTTAAAATTAATTTATCCATATTTTAGAGGGGTAATTACCCTATTTTACTCCTAAAAAAAAAAAATTATAATAATGATTTAGTGTTAGTTATAAATATTTTTAGGGAGAATATATGCAACTTTTTATGTCAATCTAATATGTATATTAATAGGAAGGAGGCTGACGTTTTCATAAAAATGTTAGCTATCAATAATTTATGATAAATTCAGGTAACGAATTAAAGCATGCTTTTTTTAATAATCACAGGATGGCTACTAAAAAGAAAATTCTCTTTGGTACTTTTTAATTTTATATATTTCTCAATTTATTAATTAATAAGTTTTTTTTTTTAATTCAACCCTTATACCTTATATGGGTGACAATTTTATTTTATAATGGGAATATACATATTAAACTAGCTTATAAAATGAAAAATGATCTAATTAACCAAAAGACTGGTCCATGACAAATTTTGACCTATTATTGCGTAGGTTATAACTATTTTAGAATGTACTGTGAAGGTGAAATGTTGGTTATGTTATTTTTATCATTACCCATTGCTCTACCGCGCTCTTCTTCCACTCTAAATTTAAAAATGTTAATTCTATTACTTATTTAAAAAAAATAAAGTTGACACCCTTATGAGGTATAAGAGATTAATTATAAAAAAAATGTATAATTAATAAATTGAGAAATCTATAAAATTAAAAAATATCAAAAAGAATTTTTTTAATGTAATTATTATTTTAAGAGTAATCGAGTAGTTAATATTAAAAGATTCACTTTGTATTCAACAACTTTATTACTTTTTATAATTTCTTCATAAAAGTTATAATACTAAATTATTCAATATCAATTTCTCACTAAATTTAATTCAAAGTATTTATTCGTCTATCATACTTTTGTATTTTTACTCATTTTTGTACTTTTCAGCAAATTTATCATTAACAGTAGTCAACAATTTCTCCTCACCTCCTTAAAATTATCTTTAGGATCATCCTTGCTCATGTGTTTTGAATATTTATTACGCACATTTTTTATGATACTGGTTTTACTTTTAAATTTTCAAAAAAAAAAAATGTTATAACGAATATTGTACTATTATGGTATTATATATTTTACTTGAATGTGTTTTCCATTCGTTAAGAAAATATGGTATAAATATATGTCATATAAAATGTATTAAACAATGGAAAAGTTAAAAAAAATGTATTTCATAGTTTTGGAATTTGAATTTAAAAAAAAAATGATTTTTGTACGGATATTTTTAATTTAACTTAAATTAAACGTTTAAAAATACTTACGTGTTCTCCAGATATGTGTTCAGTCATGATACGCGAAGTTTTGATGCGATCAAGCGAATACATTTCTGGATTAGGTCGGCTGTTTTTTGTTCGAAATAGTATATCTTCAATGAGAAATGATGTGGAATGACCTGGAGATGATTTCTTTTGATTTTCTGGCATTTTCTTGCTGCTTAGTAGTAACGTGACAGCCTGTTGAACTTTGCGCGTATTCCAGTTAAACGTTAACGAGGTCGTATGACGACTGTGCCCCCAACAAATTGTTCAAAGATTTACACGGTGCTTAGGTGGTAGACCACCAGGAATCGTCGGATGGATGAATTACTGTGTCATTTACAGCAGCCCTTTGCGAATATCCGCCCCCTGGACTGATTTCCATTGGTCTATCGATTAGTACTGGCGCCACCTCATTGGTGTCGAGGGGTGGCCATACTTGAACACCAGTCCGGGCGTACACTGAAGAGCTGAACATTTATCTGTTATACCTTTTAAACAAGTTTGGATTGTCGACAATTAGGATGGTAACGGTTTGTAGAAGGGACGGAAAAGTTGATAGTTCGTAGTAATACGTTTGAAAGGTTTTGTCGCGTCGTTATGAATTCTTTGGTAAAACTAATAAAATCAGCTTGAATTAAAGAGTAAAATATGATTTTTAGGTGCAAAATGATTATTATTTTCTCAATGAAATCACACTAACCTTAGAATTACTTAATCAGACTTTTTCTTTGTTGTAATGGTTTAATTAAATTTTTTTGTGAAATGTTTCAAAATAAATTGATTTATAAATACAAAAATAACTGTATTATCGTACTTTAGTATTGTATACTTTTGTGTAATTACAATTTTCAATTAAGAGAGCTAGCTGAAAGTTCTAAAATCAGATTTTAAAAACTTTATATATATATAATATCTGTTAAACTATTGTGAGTGAGATTAATCAAAATGAATAATATGCTTTTGGTATAATTTTACTCAACTTAATTAAAATTAACAAATTGATAACTGTGCAAGAATTTCTTGGAAATTTTCAAATATACTCTATAATATAATATAATCTATACTAGTTATATCTAACAAAATAAATGAATTGAAATATAATAGGCAATAAACATACATTGTTTTATACAGAAGAAAAACTGAACATCTTTTAGTTAAATGGTTCCTTGTGCTTTATATCGATATAATATATCGTTGATGGTTTTACAACGGCCAATGATATATCATTGATCATAAATTTTGTCCAGATGATTTTGAATTTTGAAACATTAAGTTTTGAAGATTATAATAATTATAACAAGAATTATTATAAATATTAATTATTATTACATTTTAAAGTAGCATAATATTCTTTTTTATGAATTTGCTAAACATAATTACATTTTTTCTCTTTTAATTGATGGGAACGAATAGCTCTTAGACACTAATTGTTTCATCGCTGTATCACCACTGTGTAATTTAATTTGTAAAATAACAGACGTCTATGTAAACATTAGTTTTATCGAGTGTTTTATTGCGTGCTTTATCTGTATGAAGTGTATATTTAATGAACGCTGAAGACTAAGGGGTTTTACAATGGACGATCGTGATTTTTGTTCCGATCCGCTATCTACTTGTAGAGGAATATTTCACTATCTGTCTGGAATTAAAATTTAACAGGAATAATCTGTTAGTTAAAACGTTTAAAATGTTCTAATAAAAACCAGAATAGATTTTCTTAGATTATATATTTTATTATTTCTCAATAGATTTTTAATTTAATTAGCGAACCTACTACAATTAAAAATTATACGCAGGCTAGATGAATAAATAAATTTAAACAATTTTTTTTTAATAAATTGTTTTATTGAAAAACTCATAATTCAATTTTTTCATAAAATTGATTGTTTATATTTTCATGACAAAATAATTGATTTATTATATAATTTTTATTGTAATGTGTTGTACGCAACAATATTTTACGCATTATTTCTTGATTTCCTGTTAATAAAACCTTTATAATGAAGTTTAATATCTAGTTGGATGGTAGCCACTAATTGACAATTTTGAGGTTGCCATTTAAAATAAACGGCGGCGGCTCTCAAAGGTCATGTTTACAATAGCTGAATGTAATCGCTACCAGTATAAATGACATTTTCGCGGCGGATGACTTTTAAATCGGATGTCTTATCGTTTATAGCGGGTTAACTTAATAGTAAACAAATGCCATCTTTAAGATAATCAGTCAAAATTATTAAAACATTCAAACAACTTACAATTTTTAACATAGAATCACAAAATACATCAAATAGAATATTTGAAATTTACGCGCCAGTTAAGACCTATAATTGACCCAATATTTTCGTTTTTATAATTGTTTGATAACTATAAATTGTATATCCCTTAAACAGTAGTCTTATGATTCAATACAAAATTTATGTCAATTATAATAATAAAAATGAGAGCGCCAGCTATTTTATAAATTTTCGACTTTTTCCAAGATCCATCACTTTTTTGATTGTACAAATGTAAAAATAACTTTTGCAATTTTTGAGATCAAATATAAAATATTTAGAAGTTGCTATTTGAGATCAAAGTTGAGCATTATACAAGTATACAAGGACGACCGAGGTAGAAACTAAATTCAAATAGAATTTAAAAATACATATCCTTTTTTATCTTGTTCATAATCCTTCTAAAAGTACTATATTCCGTGAAAAATTAGATTGTCGTATAAATTTCGGGGTGGGGAAGAGTATTATACCTATATATTAACTCAAAAATTTGAAACTTTAAATGATTATATCTAATAAACGAATTAAGTTATATTAAAAATTCAAATGCCATTTACCATTAAATTAAAAACTCAAACATTTTATTAAATTAAAAATATGTGTTACCATTTAAAAAAACAAAGTTGACCCCCCTCCAAGGCATAAGGGATGAACTTAAAAAGTATTACATAGTTAAAAATTCAAGAATAATGTGTAACTAAAGATAATAA